AAAAAAATGAACTTCCCCCCTTTTTTTTTCAGGCTCTGCGGGGCCTCAAATTTTTGTTAATATTTTTTTTGTGGTTTATGACGCGACATCCCACTCGGGTCTAAAACACCCCTTCCCAACTTTTTTTTTTTTTCTTGACCCCTTATTTTCGGGGTGCGCGGCACCCCGTGCACGCGCGTCGTGCGCTGTGCGCAGTGCGGCGCGTGTGCGCGGTGCAGCGCACGTCGATGCGCCGCAAGTATGGGTATTTCATTTTGCGGACCTACTGTATGGTTCCATTTTTAAACTATGGATATGGTAGACTTTGTTTTGGTAACCTTGTCTGCATCCCGGTTGGTTTGTCCCGTTGTTCGGTCTATTTCGGTGAGCGTAGCGGTGCTTTCATGTGGGACCAGTCATCCGGGTTCTCTTTTATTGTCTTGGCATCCTAGTTGGTTGCTTCCCGTTGTTCGGCCTGTGTGAGGGGGCGGTGCTTTTATGTGGGAATCGTCATCTGGGATTGTCTTTTATGTTTTTTGTCCCAGTAAGAACGGTTTACAAATGGGAATACCCACGTCTTGATGACGAACAAGGCCATCTGCTGTATATAGATATGTAATCTGGGATTTTTCTTTTTTTGCAGACAAGAGAGTTTTGTCCTGGGTGGTCTTGTCCTGTCGTTTGGCCTGTGAAGATGGGGCGGTGCTTGCGTGTGGGACTTGTCATCTAGGATCCGTTTTTGGTGCTATTGCTTGTTGCCCCGTTTTGTTGTATTTGGCTGTTCCCTTCCTCTTTTCTTTGCCTCTTTGCCCTTTGGCTGTGTGCAAGTGGGTCGATATGACACACGGGGGTGGGGGCAGCCACCGCTCAACCTACATCCACGTGGGCGGCCTTGTACGCAAGAGGTTCTGAACAGGGGGAGTTGTAAGAGAGAAGATAAAAAAACGAATTATATTTTATGTTTTTTGGGTGAAACTCTGACGAAACAGTTTGTCGCAACCCCTCGTTTCTTGTCCTCTTCCCCCTCTCTTATGGTCTACCGGCCAGCTCTGTTTGACGATATATAGTCACATCTGGACTGGACAGGATGGCCTTCGAGGCCTTTAACGGCTAATTCTTTAAGCCCAACCAATTCAATTACCTGTCACATCTGGACAGGATGGCCTTCGAGGCCTTTTTTATTATCATTATAGTATTACGGGGAACCCCGCAGCAGCCACAACTGTGTTCGACCAGGGAACATGCGGGGGCCACACCCAGCAGCAGGTGCGATACCTGCTTCTGCTGGTGGGCGATATCGGCCAGGGTTCGATCGGTAGCATCAGGACTGAGCTTCTTCGATGGGCCAGTCTCTGTGCCTCCCCTCCGCTCCCCTCCCTCTACGAACATCAGCGGTCTCTGCTCAATGCCGCTCGGGGGAACCAATGGCCTATCTTTGCTCAGGAAGGTACATGAGGCCAATTGGGATTGAACCCAAGACCTCTTGAATGCCACGTGCGTGCCTTACCAACTGAGCTAGGCGCTAGATTCTATACACACCTCGACTCCTCCCTCCTTCCCTTTCAAACAAAAAAAAAAAAAAAAAAAAAAAAAAAAAAGAACAGAAAAGCGGCAGACAAGGTTGCTACATGTCCTTTAGGACATCGGTGAAAATTGCCATGACACAGAGAAGATCAGAATGGCCACTGTTCAAGGATGACACATAAATCGAGAAATGGTCTAAATAAAAAAAACGGGAGTTGCAGCATGGGCTTGGCTAGGTGGAGGGGGGGGGGAAACAGGTGGAGGAGAATTCAATTGTGGTAGACCCCAGACTTTTGGGGGTAAGGGTGCTAGAGGGGTGGGGAATAGAGGAAGATAGCTCGTTGGTTCACTGAACATTATTGAATTTTGAACGTGTGATATGTTTATCATCAGTTTCAAGTCTCAAACCTTTAGACTTTGCATATTTCAGCGAGCACGCTGGGCACAAAATTTCTGAGTATTTTATCATTGAAGCTGCATGCCCACCTGCATGCTGATTCCCAGGTTGTTTGTGCAACCCGAGGCAGGTTGTTGTATACTCAATTGGCATCGGATTCTGGATCATTTTGTGCATCATATAAGAAGGCGACTTCTGTGGTAGATGATCATGATGTCTGATGTGGCGATAGATTGTATATCCATGGTGTGTTCCGTGGTCTGGTAAGGAATGTAGCGCTGTCCTGCTGGATGAACAGGTGCTCGATTAACTGTAACTTTTAAGAGTTGACGAGATGTATTTGGTTTAAGTTGACCAAGCGTATTTGGCTAATGTGCTATTGTCATTATCGAATTATCCACATGAGACTATTGCTCCACTGCTGGTGTACCCTCACATATTCTCCTTTCTAATTCGCAGGACGTTGGTTTGTCTGTGTTTTGACCGTTTCTTTGTGTCTTGCGATCTCTCTCCTGTACATTGTTAAACCTCTCTCCTCTGCCATCTTTGCGTTTGTTGTTTGTATTGTTTGTGGACTCTGTGCTTCTATGCCTTCTCACTTGGTCCGCTTCCTTCTATTCCCTCTATTCTCTTCTCTGCTCTGCTCGTGTTTTACACCGTGTATGAATGCTGTTGCCTGTGTTTTGATAGGAGTCTCTCTCAAGACCCAAGAACTGTATGCTCTTGTCTTTGTGACGAGGTATCTGGACCTTTTCTCCAACTTTGTGTCCATGTACAACACCATCATGAAGATAATTTTCCTGAGTAGCACGTTCGGCATCATTTGGTACATGCGAGGTCACAAGCTGGTACGCCAGTCTTATGACAAGGAACAAGACACATTCAGGCATTACTTTCTCGTCATACCGTGTATGGTACTTGCCCTTGTCATCCACAGCAAATTCACGTTATTAGAGGTGCGTGTCCTTCTCACAGCGGCATTTGAAGCAATAGATTTATATGAAAGTTATTGAAACCTTTTTCTAATTGCTGCTTCACACCCTTTCCTCCGTGACTGTTGGATATGACTCAGGTTTGTTTCTTGATTCCAACCAATTTCACTTTTCCTGCTTGCACTTGTATCCCACAACCATGCAACGCCAGCCATATCTGGCACGTTTTTTGAGACTGAGCAAGGTATCTGTTTGTAAATTAGGCACGTTTGCAGGTCCTCTTTCCTGGCAAAGCAACAGTTTTCATCTGCATTTCTTTCCCGGTGGTTGTCATTGTCCGTCTGTTTATCCTTTTCTCTTCCCTCTTTTTCTGTTCCCCCTAACATCTGCCTCTTTTGCATGCAAGTTGTCTTTCAGTTGATTACGTGGAGGTGGGTCATCATGGGATTATGACTGGAATTTAGTGCAAGTGGAGTTGATAGTTTGGCATGGTTCTGACTCTCATAAGTTAATGCAGGATATGGTTATGTCACAGCGGCATGCTCACATACCCACAATGACATCATCTGCCTTGGCACTGATTCCACAGGATAGGACGCGGGTATCAATGTGCATGATGGTGGGAGGTCCTCATCACATGGAATTGGCTGCTTCACATGGCTCTGACACTCTGTGTCCTATATAGAACAGCATCTACAGTTTGTGGTCTCTAACACTTATCTCTGTGCAGCGGATGGCACTGTGCGCAATCAGGTTGTCGGTATCATATGGGCACTAATGCTGGACCATAAATTGCCACTCTCTCACTCTCTATAGGGACATGGCACAGTTCATCAATGAACTTCGTCAGGGAGATCATGCCACGTAAGCATATGCATTCACATATCGCTGCATCCCATCTTGGGAGAAGTTTTCCCCTCCCCCTGCTCAGTATGGTCTTGAGTGGAAAAGTCACCACTGAGCAAGATGGATCATGTCTTCCTTGGGGCAAGAATCTCGGTTCAGCCTGGTGACTCACTTCGTGTTGGCATGTTCGATAAAGCTGAGGCCTGGACTTTCCCTGTCGTACGCTATCCAAGTGCTTCCTCCAATGCTCTAGCTCATCAGCCTGTGGGTGAGCATTTTTTAACAATACCACTGACTTCAAAGCTGCAGTGGCTTCCTTAAGGCGATGTATGCTCATTAGGGGCCATCCCCCCAGTGTCCTGACCAGAGGTTGGGCTGCTTATGTTCACGGCCAGCAGCGTCGACTGCCCACAGCGTTGACTGCCCACTACCTCCCGGTTGCACATACACGCTGGCTGTCCACTCTGGTGCCTGTTCAGTGAGGTAACCTGATACCAATTGAATTAAGACCAACCATACACGACACAATCCACAGAAGTCTCACACAGGATTGCACACGCATGTAGCATACGTGAGATATGAGGTCGAAGATAGTCTCTGCTAATTGTCTTTGTTCACGTTGGGTAGCAATGGCTGCCAGCCAGTCCATTTCACCCTCAGGTATCGGTTCTCTCTCCTTGTAATGAACTGCCAACACGTACTGAGACACACAGCTGATTTCTGAGTTTTCCTCATGGAATGAATGCCTTGCTGAGTTTCCGGCTTGTTACTGAGTTCTCCAAGTCTGTGTGTGAGCATGCTTGCTGGCCTGCATGCCTGTGTGAGTGCTTGTGGGCTTGTGTGTGTGTGACCCGCAAGGGCACTTGTTCGTTCAGAGGGCCTGAAGGGGCGGTACTTACCTGTGGCCGTGACATTGAGGGTTGCAGCGGGGAAAACACTCACGTGGTGGGGAAAGAGGCCCGCAACACTTGAAGCAGCGGAAAACACTCAAGTAGCAGGTAGGCCGGTACCACGCCAGGTAGAGGTAGCTGTGCTGGGTACTCGAGGCCGAGCAGAAGACAAAAGTGGGCATTTTTAGAGGCCCAGTAATTGTAGGCTAGGTCTAGGGGGGTACCAGTCCAACCAGTCTGAGTCTAGGGCCTGTACGGGCAATATCAGAGTCTGCGATGATGTTTCGTCCGAAAGGGAGGAGGTACCGGTTGCTTGGAGGCTGCACAGCCTAGGAAGTCACTCGCCAAGAGGCAAGCAGGCGCTATATCTCCAGGAGGAGCAAGGTGCTCCTCATTGTCGGTGTGCAAGTTTGGCGACGACTGGTTGAAGCGCTGGCTGGAGAAGCGCTAGCACAGAGTTGCGCTGCTGGGGAAGGAGCAAGGACAGGAGGAGGAAGAAGACCAGGATTCGGAAGGGGGAGCGCCAGAGGTACTTACCTGTCTATGGTGGTTGCCATCTTCATCACCTTGGTGGGCGCTGCAGCAGGAAGGCCCCAGTTGGGGTAGAGTTACACCAAGAAGCGTCGAGGCAGATTCAGGCATGGCGGCCTGAGCTAGAGCAGCCATAGCTTCTTTGTGTTGTCCTTTGGACAGCAGGGCGGTGCTCTGGTAGTCCACCATAGCCTCGGCCTTGGAAGGAGGAGGAAGAAGGGTGGCCATGGCTATGGTGGACCTCGTGTGATACCTGCAGTAGAATTGGGATTCGGACATTGATTCTGGTTCAGCCATTCAACATTGTTATTACTACGAGTTTGAATCAGAGGGGAAGAGAGAAGGAGGAGGAGAGTGGTTGGCGAAGAAGAGCATTATCGTTGGTCTATGCTTGTGTACATCATCTTCTTCTTCCCTCTCTCTCCTCTCAAGTTCGTTCGTTTCTTTTTAAAATTGGACGGCATTGTACTTTATGATGAATGTGTACTTTGACATTGGCCAGGATCATAACATTGGTATCAGAGCGGATTCTGCTTGCTGGTGAGAGTCGACTTATCCACCCTAACCCTAACCCAAGTGGTTAGGGCTGACCGCTTAGGGCGACGGTTGGTCTGAAGTGGGCAGTGGGGCAGCGTGGATTAGGGAAGCTGCCCCCACCTGGTTAGGTCGTGTTTGGTCGACACTGAACCTGACCAGGTTGATTGAGAGTGAGCTTATGGTGGCGACTCTGGCGAGACACATCAAAAGCTCTTCATGCGACAATTTGAGAGAGGCGACAGTGAGAGGCACTCGCACCTGGAATCTGACCTAAGGGAGACACTTGGTGGCTTAAGGGCCTCCCTCAAGTATAGGCGATCTTGAGGGAGGTAGCCATTCTGCATCTACGGTCTGTAAGTTGCTGCTTTGTTCTTCAGCATTGGCGGGGGATCCGGCGTTGGATTTTGGTGTTGGAGTCGGACCTCCTACATGATGGACGCTAGTGTAGAGGTAGCGAATAGGGTTAGGAGGACCATATGAGGAAGTTGAGTTATACTTCATCTCCGAGTCCGGGCCACTCAGGTAAGTGCTGTGCACCTAAGGGTTGCCCATGTGTGCGTGCATGGTATTGTTTGTCCTGTTGGGGTATTTCTGGGTCTCTTTTCTACTCCTCTGAAGTCTTGGTTGTATGCATTGGTGTGCAAACTGGTCGCTAACCTGATGAATGGGACCAGGCGGAAACAAGAAGGGCCCCTTGGACTCAAATCTGTTGACGCAGTGTTGCTCTCTTTTCTGTCTGGAATTCGTTGCTTTTCTTTTTGATTAGAGCACTCGCTGCTGAGGGGATCTTGGCTGAGATGTTTTGCGGACTGATGACACACAATCCAATGCTTGACCTGCACCTTATACACCAGTCAATTCTTCATTGCTGTAAGGTCTTAGTTGTAGTCTGATTTGGTGTACTCAAGATCTGAGAATTCTTCCTGCATCTACTTTTGGCCTCACATTCTCTCTGAATAGCTCTTGACGTCTCTCTCACTCTCTCCCAGTTTGACCTATCTAGAGCTGTATGGCACCGGGCGATTGACTACTCCCTGCAGAAACGTACAACACCGTATCCCGAAATAGTGCTGCAGGGCCTCCGCCTGGTTGCACAAGTGCATACGTTTTGATCTCTCCAACGTTCTGCTTCTGGGATTCCTCCACCTGTTATGAGCCGGCCCCTCTGACAATATTGGTCGCTTGCAGAAGTTCCCGGACTTTCCTAGGACTGGACAGACTGACGCAGCAGGGCCAACTAACTTTTTCCGATGCCTAGTGATACCTACCGGAATCTACCTACGATGGCCTATTGTGCTGTGTACCGGCCCTGACTTGGTGCATGGGACCATGTCTGGGAATGGAACTGGGACAGGGATGAGGGCGGCTAACTGTGAAATCCTTTCAAGTTTACTCTTGTCTGCCACCATGTCAAATTTGTCATGATATTCTTACACCCAGACTCCTGCGCGACCTTCCCCTTCATCTTACTTATGAAAGCACAACTGATCTGTACTCTGCCGGTTGTGTTCCAATCACACTCACTTGTCTGGGTGTGATGTTGTTGTGCACATAAATCTTGTTGGGCTCGTGTCTTATGAATTGTATCTTGAACGTGGTTTCATTTAGGCATTGCGAACAGCACAGGCATGGAGAGACTGGCAGGGAGCAGTTGGGTGGGCTCGTTTCTCCCCCCCGGCCGCCATTTTCCTGTTTTCTGTTTTGTCCGGACTCAGTTTCAGCTCCGTATTGCACGGGCTTTCTACTCTTCTGCTGTACTGGAAATTACCCTGTCAGTCTCTTGAATGTAGTGTTTGTCAAGCACCAGCACAAAGTTCCTTGGTGCTATTCTCCTCCCATCTGTAAGGACAGTTGTATCTGTGTCATGTGGTGTCTGCCAGGTGTTGTGGACTCTCTTCCATTTATCTGAAAGTGGTTGTATTACCCTTCATGCGGCCAGTCTCTTGGATGTAGTGTCCGTCAAGCACTTTCTACCAAGTTCCTTGGTGCTTAAATGGAGAGACAGGCAGGCAGCAGTTGACTCGGCTGTTTCTTTTTTTTGTTTCTTTTCTTTGCCATCTTCTTCTCTCCTCTTTTTCTTTTTTGTCCGGACTCAGTTGTTGGTCGATATTGTATGGGCTTTCTAGGCCATTCTGTTATATGGGCAAGTACCCTCCTTGCGACCCCTCTCTTTAATGAACAGTCCTTCAAGCGCTTTCTTGTAAGTTCCTTGGAGCATAAATAAGGCCATCTATAAGAACAGCTGTATCTGTGTTGTGTGGTGTCTTCCAGGTGTTATGGACTTTTTCTATTTATCTTGAAGCGGTTGCAATTCTGCCACAGCTTGTGTTGTTGCAACGAACAAGAAACATTGATAATTTGACTGGGAACTACATCTTCTGTCTTGGGTAAGTTGGCCAGGTTGCATAGCTCTGACTCGGGCTGATAATGCTGTTTGAGAGTACATTTCTGTGTTTGTCTGAGATTGGTGTACACTCTATCTTTTGTTGTTCTTTTCTTTGTCTGCCAAAGAAATTCTGTTATGGGCAGCCTCTTTTGTCTGTGGAGTGGAGGCCCGCTTCCGTTCTTGCAACAAGGGAGATAATTAAACCTACTCCACGAGTGATGTATCTGTGGCCAAAGTGACAGAAATGAAAGCCCTGTGATTTCAATAACAGTATGGTGATAACCGGTGCAATGCATGCAAAGACGAGGCCCCCTCATATACCTTGGAGTGGTGTGGTGTGGCTGTTTAGTACAAGAGCATACTTACATTGCATGCCACTCCCCTTTATGCATAAGTTCGGCTGGCTTACTCTAGAGTGGAAGGTAATTCCAAAGTGATTCCAGTCTACTGCAGTTGCTGTTTTAACCAGTACTTCAGAGTGATCGAACCACTCGCGTTGATGGAAAGGAAGAAGAAGGCAAAGATTTTGTGAGTCCATTGTTTCTGCCATCGGATCGTAGAATTGGTGGTGATGTCAGGATTGTTTGAGTAGAAATTGGACAAAGACAGTGTGCCATTGTCGTTGATGCAAGCTACTCTCTGCCTCTGGTACTTTGTGGTTTGATTTGCACTGACGGACGGAGGATGTTGAAAGAAATAGAAAATGCACTCCATTGGTGCACTTTTACGATAATGTCTGTGGTGGCACCATACATACGCTCAGACCATGCCTTCTTAGAGTGGACTGTGTTGGACTGGTACTGTTCTATGACAGACAATCAGTCCATGCCTTCTTAGAGTGGGTTGTGTCGGACTGCAGGCCATCTTGTGGCAATAAAGCCTGTTTGTGGTGGCTTGACAAGAACAAATTTTCATGGTAACTGCGGACCCGGACACCGGACTCCTCCGGACTCCTCCGGACTGTCTTCCGGACCAGTGTCTTCCGGAAAGTTTGAGCTTTGCAGTTCAATTCAGAACCTCAGAGTCTTCAGACTGGCAGCACTGTCAGCGCTCTCTCTCTCTCTCTCTCTCTCTCTCACGGGCAGGAGCGGCGGGCGCCACGTCGAAACGGCGGCTTTGAAATTGCTCGGGCCTGTGCGAAACCCGCCACCTCAAAAACCTGCAGTGTCTTGTGTCTGGACCTCTAGGCCATGTCGGGTGGGGTGAAGGGACACTTACAAATCACCCCGTTATTTTTCGAGAGGCGGCTAGGACCCAACAAACGTCCTGGGCCGCCCCAATTTTTTTTTTGATTTTTGCCCCAGGGGCCTCCATCCAGACATGGGGACTGGACACCGGACACTGGACTGTCCGGAACCCGGTCCGGACATCCGGGCGGTTACCATGCAAATTTTCAATGTCATAGAGTCAGACCTGATCTACTTTGTTGAGTAAAGTTTGGAAGTTGTTGCATTCCAATCACAACTCTAGGGTGCAGTCAGCTAACCATTTGCAAACTGAAGGTCACAGGCCGGATCTCAAGTAACATGTTGTGGTAGTCACTCCAAACTTGTTGCGCGCTTGCAGATCGGTGTGTTCTCCCTCGTTTAGGGAATAGTATTCTGCATGTTGATGGACATTGGACATGACAGAGCTCAGGGAGCGGGTGAGAAAAGTTGATACCAATTGAAAAGGGAAAGAAGGGCATGTGTGGGCTTCTTTGTTCTGGCACAATGTTAGTGTGCATCTGAGTGGTGAACATACCCAAATGCTGATTAGAAATGGAAATCTTGGCCGAGCAAAGTGGTGACACAGTAGCCACTGGACAGATCCCATCATGTCATCACTAGCCAGCAAGGCTGTTGTCTGTGTGTGTGTGTGTGTGCTTGTACATGTGGAAAGGATGGAGAACGGGCGATGAAAGGGATGAGAGAGAGATTTTGAATGCAAGGACGGAAAAATGAACAGGACGAAGATTAGGATGTCAGGATAGAAAATGAGCAATGGATGGGATGTAAGTTGGGTTTAGGGTTCCCCGATGTAGGATGGAAAATGAATGTGGAGCTGCCAGCAGTGAATCACTTGCCACGTATCAACTAGTACAGTGATGTGACCAGACACACTCACACACACACACACACACACACACACACACACACACACAGAGAGAGAGAGAGAGAGATGGAAGGAAAATGAACAGTCAAAGTCAAGGAGTGTCACGGGAACGGGAAGTGGAGAGATTCCTAAAGAAAGGGATGAAGGATTAGGGGGAGAACATTGAGAACGGGAGAGGAGAGGTGATGTCACTTATGTGCTGGCAGCTATTGAAACCAAACGATTAGAAGTGGAGGTGGTGGTGATATTGTTGTGATTCATCTCTTTGTAGTAGTTGTTGTTGTCAATCTCTGCACCTGTGAAGTTCCTGCCTGTGCAGTGATTCTCGTTCCTGGATCCGACGTGCACACTCCATTTGTGCCTGGTCTAGACGGTTTACAGACTGTCCAGGGAACTCGTAATGTCAAAAGATGCCAATGGGTTAAAGTTTTTGCAGTCTGGGAAACATTCATCTCTATTTGTCTTCTGAGAGAAATTTGAGAACTTCAGCTAATAGGTGTTCCTATGTTTTGGCATTCTCTGGTGATTCAGCGCTTACCGAGCTTTGTACCTTTTGAACTGGATCTACCGGTATTTCATGGAAAAGAATTATCATGCACAATGGATAAGTGAGTATTATTGCTGAACTTTGAACTTCTCAGTTGGTGCATGTAACCATTTGCCTTGTGAACTTGAGCTCTTCATGCGGTTTATGTTCTTTAGTTTGTTGCATACATGCGGCGCATCGCGATGCGCTGCACTGCGCACGTGCGCCGCACGGCGCATCCCGCACGACGTGCGCGCACTGCATGCGGCGCACCTCCAAAAATGGGGGTCAAAAAAAAAAAAAAAAACTTGTGAGGGGTGGTAGTAGACCCGGCCCCCTGCTCGTGTAAAATAAGAAACGGGAAGCCAGATTTTTTTCGGAGGCCGCGCGTTGGCCCGCAAGCTTTTAGTAATCTGTAGTTCGGGTAACACTCTGTGTGTATGGTAGGGTTATTGCAGTCTGTATGGTAGGGTTCTTGTAGGCCAGATTCAGTCATGATGAGGGTCGCGATTTCTCAAAACGTTCTCTTCTTATTACTTCTGAAGTAGAAAACGACGGAACTGACAACCGTTTTTCCTGGAATGGAAAAATATCAAGAATTTCTTTGCACGAGTGTCGCCCGGCACGTCCAACCTGTCAGAACCTCAATGGTAATTGCAGTCTGTATGGTAGGGTTCTTGCAGGCCAGATTCAGTCATGATGAGGGACGCGATCTCTCAAAACGTTCTCTTCGTATTACTTCTGGAGTAGACAACGACGGAACTGAGCCGTTTTTCATGGATTTTTTTTTTAATAATAAAAAGAAAAAAACGTAAAGGAAGAATTTCTTTGCACGAGTGAAGCCCGGCGCGTCCAACCTGTCAGAACCTCAACGGTAATGTTTACCAACCGGCTCGCTGCACTACTCTCGACATGCACAAGAAGACATATATGGAAAGGTATCTTTCCATGTTCAAGCGGAGGATTCAGTCTCATTTGTTCAGAGATTCTCCAAAAAAAGAAAAAGAAAGCTTCCAGAGATACGTTACGTGCTTACCTGATTCATCGGCCCTTCGCTCTCCACCACCCAACGCATGAATGAATCTTCCGCCAGAACATGGAAAGATACACCGCCATATTATTTGTCCTTTGTGCATGTCGCCCCGCTTCCGGATTCATGTTGCCCCTTGATAAGGGCGGTTTCTTCGGTCCGATAGTGTCAGCACACGGTTTCTTCTCTCTCTCTCTCTCTCTCTCTTTCTCTCTCTCTACCGGGTTAACTCGTTAACTCGGTGGAAATGTATCTTTCCATGTTCAAGCGGAGGATTCAGTCTCATTTGTTCAGAGATTCTCAAAAAAAAAAAAAGAAAGCTTCCAGAGATATGTTACGTGCTTACCTGATTCATCGGCCCTTCGCTCTCCACCACCCAACGAATGAATGAATCTTCCGCCAGAACATGGAAAGATACACCGCCATATTATTTGTCCTTTGTGCATGTCGCCCCGCTTCCGGATTCATGTTGCCCGTTGATAAGGGCGGTTTCTTTGGTCCGATAATGTCAGCACACGGTTTCCTCTCTCTCTCTCTCTCTCTCTCTCTCTCTCTCTCTCTCTCTCTCTCTCTCTCTCTCTCTCTCTCTACTGGGTTAACTCGTCAACTCGGTGTATCACGAAGGAAAAAAAAAAAAATCCATGTATACCACGGCGCACCATGCGCAAAATCGCGCTCCTCACGCGCATGCCCCAGCGCACCGGCGCACTGCGCACTGTGCAGTAGTGCGCGCGCATCGCGCACGGCACAGGTGCGCACCGCATCGCGCACCGCACTGATGCGCCGCAAGTATGGTTTGTTTGTTGTACTTTGTTTAATCAACTTTAATGAAGTTGGTGCAGGTGTCCATTTGTTTGTGTACTTGAGCTCTTCAGCTTTTTCCCCATAAACATTCCCTATCCCTCACCACGTGCGTTTTGAGTGTGATGTAGAGTCCTTGGAATTTATTTCCTTTCTTTTACGTCAAACTGGCCTGTTACAATGTATACCATGATCTTATCTGTTTTCCTGTAACCGTCGTTTTCATTGCAGTTCAAAGCTGCAACAGGTCATGTGGATTTGGTACATTGATAATGTACAGGTGTATTGTATGCTTCTCTCGGTTGCCCCTTGATTTGCTTGACCTAGGAAGACTCACTTGGCTGTTCCTACAATCTACACTTTTGTGTGCCTTGTGTGCCCTTGATTCCTGCTGTGCAGCATGGATGGCCGGTATGATTCAGACAGCAATCTATGCGGACTTCTTCTATTACTATTTCAAAAGGTACGCACACTTTTTTGTTGGACAGCTGATTAGGAGTGTGATTGAGATGTGTGACTATTTTCGTCTATTCATGCAGTAGTGATGTGTTGTCTGAATTTTGTTTGAGCATGTTCTATGGAAGTGTTGTCATTGAGAAGCTCGGGCGGCTTTTGAAAATAGTGGGCCGCAGGTGCCAGTCTTAGTGCAGGAGGTTGGAGACGGAAAATTACTGCCGTTTGGAGGGGGAAAGGGGAGGGGGCTGGGGGCCAGAAGCCATTATAACAAAAAATGCATAGTCCGCTCAATTGAGAGGGCAAATTGTGTGGCCGGTGCATCATGGACTTTGGGAACAATAATGGCCCGCACCTGGAGGCCAGAAGCCATTATAACAAGAAGTGCATAGTCCGCTCGCTCGGGCGTCGGGGCAAATTGTGCGGCGGGTGCATCACCGACTTTGGGAACAATAATGGCCCACACTTGCCAATGTTGATGCATTAGAGTAGTGACGGATAACTCTCTTGAGGAAATTTGCTTTTTGTCGGGTTGGGAGAAGATAGGGGGTTGGGGGGCAGAAAGGCAGTGTATTACTCTGCTCAAGGGCAAAAGGTGTGGCTTCATCTGAATAGCTGGGTGCCCAATGTCCTGCGGAATGTCATTTCTCAGGGAATGACAATGCCCTAAATGTTGCAGGGTATACTCTCTTTTTGTACGATGCCGTGTCCATACTTAACAGGGGTGGCGTGTGATAGGAAAACAAGAGGCCCTGTGGTAGGGATTCTGGATTTCCTACTTGTCCGATGGTAGCTAGGGGATAGACCATCCCCTTCTGGAATGATGCCTGTCGAATGAGCCTTAGTGCATGCTGTTTGGGTAACAAATGGTGACTTTTAGCAGATATACCAAACTTGGACAGCATACTCACGACTAGTGCACGGTTTTCTTGCTTCGTGAAAAGGTTAATGGTTCTGATCTGTGTAGCTCAAAGTCAACAGGGTAGGTGATAAATCATGTCCAATTGGCTGCTTGTATGTTTGCACGTATTCTTGGGGATGGTTTGCACCTCTGTAAAATCTTTGGCTGCATTTGCTCACTGAAGCAGACAGGCTTGCATGCAATCAAAAGGGTTGCAGTGAACTCGGTTCAAATCCACAGAGTCATGAACCAGAGTCGTAACTTTTGGTCCAAGTCCCGATTTAGGGGTCAAAAGTTGCATATCTAGCCATAGAGAGAGGCTGTTAATGGAAGACCCAAAATTCGGCGAATTTTGGCGAATTTTTCACCGAAACTGCCATATTTACCTGAAATTTTTACTTTTTTCATGTTTTTTTTTTTTTTTGGCTGATATGTATGTGCTTTATGGTATATCTATATTCAATTTCACCGTATTTGGACCAGTAACGAAAAACTTAGCAAAAACGCTGGACTCGAAAAACGATTTAGCGAACTCCGAAAGCTACTCCGAACAGGGTTTTATAGTGCTCTTGAGTTTGTTTTTTTTGTTTTTTTTTTGCCTGTTTGGTTTTTTGATGTTTGTATTATGACCCTGCATAGTTTGTTCGCAAACGTTTCGACAACATTGCTTGTAGCAATGCGGCGAAAACCCCCGAAATTTTCGCCTTCCATTAACCGCTTGTGCTACATGGAGAGGCGGTTAATGGAAGACCCAAAATTTGGCGAATTTGACTCTTGGAAAATGAAGAGTCAGGAAAAGTAGACCAAGAGTCAAAGCTTACTCAGGAGCCAGTCAGGGCCATATATCAGATGCGCAATCAAGGACTGTGCATTTGTTCCAGAAGATTTCAGGGTCTACTGGGACGATTCACACTGAGGCCAGCAGCAAATCTGGGCCTTAACGATGAAGAAAATCTTGGCCGTTGGAGGAGGCAGCTCAGGTCAGCCAACGCCGTTCAACGTTACAAAAGAACGGGCAGCCCAGTGGCTGATTCATTCTGCCTTGCAGACGCTAGCGGCTAAACTGCGGCTTGCAAGGCTACCTTCTCAACCCGAAAAAAACGTACGTACGTTCTATTCGAATTACCTCTGGAAATCGGGTTTTCAGAAATCGCTTGCTTTTCCCTGAATAGAACGTACGCTGGAATATAACGTACGTACGTTGTATTCGAATACAACGTACGTATGTTGTATTCAAATTTTTGGAACTTTGATTTTTTAAAAATAATCAAAAAAATCCGAAAAAAATAAAATGTTATACAACAATGCAATACAAACAACGTTTGCCTGAGGGTCTTATCGAAATTCACGAGAAAATTCGAGGAAAAAAAAAAAACGAGGATGAAAATGTTTTTTACTGATTTTTTCAGAATTTCGATAAAAAAAAAACTTCAGTAAAAAAATCCGAAAAAAAAGTATGTTGTACAACATCGCAATGCAAACAACTTTTGCCCGAGGGTCTTGGCGAAATTCCCAACCAAATTTGAGATAAAAATAAAAACAATGGCGGTACTACAGGCTTCTGAAAAGTTGTACCCTAAATTCGTATAAAAGGTACGTACGTTTTTTTCGGGTTAAGAAGGTAGGAGTAGTGGAGAGGCTAGCGCCAGACTGAGCAGGAGAGAGCCAGCCAAGGAGAGTGGTGGAGCTGGCCATAGCCAGAGAGGGAGCTCTGCCGCCTTCATAGCCAGGTAGCCAGTGCTGACACTGGAGGTAGGGCGCCATAGCTGGTACGTGCACAGAGACTTCATCAGTGACTTCCAGATAGGGACGTGCATTACTGAGGTGGCGAGTTGGAGGAGACTATTCCGAAGGTGAAGAGGGAGTGGGGCAGCCGACGTACTTGTATTATTGAACAGTAATGGAATTCTTCTCTCTGTCTAAATATTTCTCCTCTATCTTGTATACTTCTGGTGACTCGCTGCTGCTGTCAAGTGCAGTTGAGTCGGTTTGGACTTGTGTACACCTGAGGGTGACTACATTTCAGTGCACTTGCAGTGCTGACACTGGAGGTAGGGCGCCATAGCTGGTACGTGCACAGAGACTTCATCAGTGACTTCCGGAGCGGGACGTGCATTTCTGATCTGGCGAGTTATTCCGAAGGTGAAGAGGGAGTGGGGCATCCGTCGTACTTGTATTGTTGAACAGTAATGAAATTCTGCGCCATAGCTGGTACGTGCACAGAGACTTCATCAGTGACTTCCAGAGAGGGACATGCATTTCTGAGGTGGCAAGTCGGAGGAGACTATTCCGAAGGTGAAGAGGGAGTGGGGCAGCCGACGTACTTGTATTGTTGAACAGTAATGAAACTCTTCTCTCTCTAATATTTCTCCTCTATCTTGTATACTTCTGGTGACTCGCTGCT